CATCATATTGTAACCATCTGATAAAGAGACATAATCTATAGGCACGGGTCAAAGTATTGTTTTTGGAGCACTTGAGATCTATATTTAATCTTAATATGGATTTCTGTAAAGATACGTTTAACTAATTCAAGTATTTCCTACATCCTCGCCATTGAATCTACACACAGTTTTAGCCTTGTTTGCAAATACAATAGAATGTGATGCAATTTAAAAAAGGCAATCAAATAATCACCAAAAACCTTCCTCATGGGTCGCATGCAGTAACATACAGACGACAAGATTCGCAAACAAATGACTCCATGAACGAGTTTTTTTGCAGTGAATCAAAGCAAATCATTAAAGATCTAATCAAAAACTAAAAGGTTGACTTAAGGTTGCGGTTGGGTTTTTAAGAGTTTTTTTTTTTTTTTTTTACAATATTACAGACAATCTCCATTTCAGATGTGTGCTCAAACTGCATTGCGATTTAAAAAGAAAATGCAATGTGTGCGGAATTATAATGAAGTCTGTACATGAGATATTAACAGAAGCCAGAGATGCACCACACAAAATATTGTACCAAGCATAGCAAGCTCATAATTCACAATGTACAAAATATTGGAAGAAAACAAATACTAAAAATTTAATTGGGGGTAGGAGAGGTTACATTAATGCATTTCTGGGAAGAATTTAGAGTTCAGATTAGGGCTGTACGATATTAGAAAAATCTAACGTTTCGATATTTTGTTATTCTGTGATCCATATTGCCATAAGAATCCAATTTCACCAGATGTGTTGAATCTCTCAATTTGGAAGACAATTATAATATAATATTAGATTAGGATTAAAAGGATTCTGTAGGGCATGATAAACAATCTACAAGCATACATAAATACAATAAAGAAAAAGATACACCTGAAATAAACTTGAAATTGTACTCAAACATAGAAATGAAAAATAACACTATATAGTTTTCATTCTAGTAATAATTTTAACTGCTCATTGATATTAAAATTACACACAGTACAATTTATTGTGCCTAAATGCTAAATAAATCAAATACTCATACAGTCACAGGTCTCAAAAAACACATGCAAATGATCAATTATCATCCGGACTCAACATTGCGTTTACTTGTAATGTGACTCTTGTGAATGATCATTGCAATGTCGATTTTGAAACGGTATACTGTGCAGCCCTAGTTCAGATGGTATTTTCTTTTAATATTATTTTCATATTATTCTGATTAAAAGTACCATTTATAAAAGTGTGGCTTTTCTTTGTTTACAATGGTAACCACAGAAACACAATTGACCTTATTCTGCAATGTGGAAGTGTGCTCATTTTTGCTACTGTTTTAGAACTTCCGTTTCAGTTGCCTATGGGAGAAATGACGGAGTAATAAACTGCAGAAAACAGTTAATACAAACAAGTGTTTGCATGATTATACAAAGCAGAATCATTTTATAAATAACTCCTACTTACAGTGAAGAGTGCACATGTATGCTTTTAATATATTTTGCCAATCAGTTTTCATTTCTGTTTCATGTAAAGGAAAGTCAGACAGTTTGTTTTTACTTTTAGAAGAGAAAAAAACTATTTAAAATCAAAAACTGTTCATGTACAGTTGAAGTCAGAATTATTAGCCCCCCTGAATTATTAGACCCCAATTATTTTTTCAACACATTTCTAATCATAATAGTTTTAATAACTCATTTCTAATAACTGATTTATTTTATCTTTGCCATGATGACAGTAAATAATATTTGACTAGATATTTTTAAGACACTTAAAGTGATCATTAAAGGCTTAACTAGGTTAATTGGGCAGGTTACGGTAATTAGGCAAGTTATTGTATAATGATGGTTTGTTCTGTAGACTATCGAAAAAATATATAGCCTAAAGGAGCTAATAATTTTGACCTTAAAACTGTTTTTAAAAAATTAAAAACTGCTTTTACTCTGGCCAAATTAAACAAATAAGACGTTATCCAGAAGAAAGAATATTATCAGACATACTGTGGAAATTTCCTTGCTCTATTAATCATCATTTGGGAAATATTTTAAAAAGAAAAAATTCAAAGAGGGGCTAAAAATTCCAACTTTAACTGTAACTTTATGTACTCCAACATTTTTCTTGGACTGTTATTAAAATACAGTGGTTGAGTCAAATTTGCATGTAACGGAGCCAATAAACAGTTTGTAATCTAATGTTTTCTTTTATCTTACACTAGAAGAAATCTATTTTAAAAACCCTATTTAAAGTTAGCCAGTTTTTGCTTATAAAATTGCAGCTGGAAATGGCCATTTAATCCACGATTGGTGCATCAACAGAAAACTGAATTTTTCAGAAATGAATCATAATTATACACAAATTTCACACATTGTTATAAAAACATGCTAAAGTGCAACTGAAAGTTTAATTGAATACCACATGCCGCAGAAAATAGAATCAAAATCAGCTTCGAATGACACCAAAAGCTTCTATCAAATCAAAGCAAGAAATCTAATCAAAAGCAAACCACGAAGGCAAAGGCTTCTCAAAACCAATCTTAGCAAAACAACTCAGTGATACAAGAAAACAAACTCCACCAGGTGCCACCACAACAGGTGACAAACTCGGTCTCTAATACTGAGGGCGAGGTGCTGGATATCTTTATACAATGCACCCTAGATGGGGTTACACCGAGCACATCAAACAGATGTCCGGATGCAGAGACACTCAGAAACACATTCCACTAGCAATTTCATTAGCTTTCATGGGACACTAAGAAACTGCAAACACGGCATTTTAAATTTAAACTCAATCACAGGCTTTCAGGCACAAAACCATAGCCACACATCATGTGATCCAAGCTATATAGAGACATCTAGGTGAAATTTCAAGCAGGGGTCAGAAGAGAAGCAGGTGTAGCATCAAAGACGGCCCTGAAAGGGTCAGTATGATAGCACGTTACACATTAACTTAAACGGTTGAGTGTTTGTGTGTTGGGGGAAGCAGTGAGGTAGTAAATGAAAGACTAAAGGAAAGCTGGTTTTAGGTCTGCCATCAAACACAGGTGAGTACTTTATGTGCGTCTCATCGGGCTGCAGTCCAAAACTGAGAGAGTCAACACTACGTGACATCTCTCTTTTTGTTGTTTGCTGGTGTGACACCGAACTGCATAAAACATTTGCAGCGATTTGACACCTGATATGAGCATCAGTAATGTGCCTGAGTGTCTGGAGAGACACACGATAAGTTTTTTTTCCCATATCAGCACAAGGGAGTCACAATCAGTATTCGGATACCATTACAACAAATTTCCATGACAACTAAACTTCCCTCTAATCAATGTTACTGTGGGATTAGATTATACATTTATGGTAATAGCCGACATTAAGAAAATACCTAATAATAATCAAACTTTAAATGCTGCTTTTGGAAAGATTCTAAAAGATTAAACATGCTGAAATAAAGATCAAGTAGTGTTGTTATTGGGGTAAAATTTGTCTAATATTCGCACATTTTTTCAGTACCAACTTGTGAAGCCTTCGCTATATTGTTAACCATGGTACTTAGAATATTCTTTCTGAAATCACATGCAAGTATGACATCAAAACAACATTGTTAGCGCTATTTAGACTATGTACAACACTGTTAGTCTTTGGCTGCTAATATGATTTCAAAACAGTTACTTTTTAATACTTTTCTGAAATTATATTATTAAGGAGAAATTCCAAATGCGTGAATATACAACACACTTTCTGAGGTAAATTTGGTTTAATATTCAAACATTAGTTAAATTTTGTCTTGTGACATGGTCCTCACCACGCTACTTTGAATATGAGCTCTGAAAACTCATGCAAGAATGACTTATTAGCACTATTTAATTGACTGTGGACTATGGTGTGTTTTCATAGTCATTGATATAATTTCCCTATTTAGAATTTGCAAATAACACCAAAGGAGAAAATTTGAATATGTGAATATAAAACTAACTTCACCTCAACGTGTTTGTTTTGTGTTATTGTTATGTATTACAGAAAAAGATTAGCATTCATTTTTAAGCATATTGACTACCTTTTGCATAACCATTTACCACAGATACCATGATTAAACTATGTCTAGTAAAATCATGCGTCACTTGTGAATACAACAGTTTGACTGCAAAAACATGCTTTTTTGATTTATTTGTAGCAAGTTCAAGCAAACAATAGTAAAAAAGAATCAAAGATTTAGGCAAAACCACAGCATTACAGAAGTTAATCCGCCTTATATCACTCACTTTATTCCTTTAACAATAACACAAGTAAATATAGTACTTTAAAAAAAACCTGTGTGGGGTATTAATCTGCTAAAATGCGATATAACAAAATCATAAAGACCAAGCAGCGCCATGAGTACGGATAGCGCGTCACATTTGAATAGCTAGTACACTACTTGAGAAAGATTGGCACCTTGATAATGAGAAGTCAACAGAAACAAAATTAAAATCAGTCTACCTAAACCGCCTTGTATATTCTCTTATGCTACCAAAACAAGATGTACAACTAAGCAGATTTGTAACACAGCCAATTAAAACAAACTATTCTGTTAGAAAGTATCTTTTAAAGCTTCCGCTTGACAGGATGACAGACTTAAGTCACCATTCACTTTCAATCAATATTTCTTCGAGTAAATAACAATATTATCTAATTACTTCGTGTTTCTAAAATAAATAACCAACACAGGTGGGAAACAAGGTGACCAAGTAGCAGAATTTCCATTCAACAGTGAGCTATCTCTTTAAGAGGTGCGTGTCACCTTAAATGCACCTTCAAGCAGCCCGTTTCAAACACGCAGAGCAAAGTGAGTGCCCTACAGATGAAGCAGTCACAGAAATAACAGAAAATCGTTAAAAGACAGCAGCCTACACGCCCCACGATTAAAATAGAGACCCTGTCATCACCCTAACAATATAGTGCACTCAACTTCCGAGCAGTGACAGCTCACCGCGGCGCGTTTTTTTATTACAGCCCATGGAGAAGACGAGGACTCACCGGCCAGGCGAAGTGAAAAGGGATGATGATCTTTCCCACGTCGCTCGTTTTGCTGGGGCTGTTTTTTGCGGTCTTAAAAGAAATTATATTTCCACCAAGAACGTCGGTAGATCCAGAGCCGAAGGTGCACTGTCCAGTGGTGGTGACTTCAGACTGGTACTCCTTCAGACACACTTTAAAGTAAGTATCGCACTCGTCCCGCACGCAGCGCTGGTCTTGAGAGTTCCGCGTGCTGTCGCAACATTCCCCGTCCCACAACTCACCGTTTACATTTTCTACAGCAATCAGCTGCAGCTCAAAATAGCCAGAGGACTGGGACACCTAAAAATACATTGAAAAACAGAAAGACAAATAAATAAACAAACAAACAGAGCAATCATAATGCTGATTGTGCATTACAGAAATGCAGATAAATCTGTGCTAATGTTAATTTGAGGGAATGTGTCGCGTGCGCTTGTGCATTCAAGTCTCCAGAGAATCAGTCTACAATTTTGCAAACCTGTTATGCGGATGAGATGAGAAAATCGGCTTTATTTCATACAATATCCTATAAAACTGATCCACCCGTGCTTTTAATGAGGAATCGTGTTTCAAGTTAACATTTCTTACATCTGACATTTCCAAATGCACGCGCACATGTGGCTGCGTAATTCAAATATCGATCACTTTAAGCAGAAACGGTTGAAATCGTCTGCCCACACCCATCAACTTTTGCCTCCTGATCAGTGCTACGGCAATTAAATCGATCTGCAACACTAATAACAATCAGAGCTCTCACCTTCGTCCACATCGTTAACAGCAGGCACGCGATTGGGAGCCAATTCCTAATCCTGATACAATTCCACATGCCGCCGATTTGATGTGTTATAAACGCAAGATGGAAAACGGCCGATGACCGGCGACAGGATCCTCCGTTCCTGACATGCAAAAATTCACGAGCGTGGTGTGTTTGCGCGGTGATGGTCTGTGCTGATCTCTCCCTCGGTCTGATCACTTCACGGCAAATGATATGTTTCACGGCTACCACACGCCTGAGGAGATCTCGCGTGATTGACAGCTGGAAGGGCCAATCAGTATCCCCCCTGCTGATGCGGTTGGCCAATCGCCACTCGGGGGCGGAGCCTGGCCAAAAAACTTACGAGCTCTATTCCCTCTGTTTCACAACGAGCAATTAAACAGCGTGCTTTCTTTTCTGTCAGGAATTTGGATATTTGTAATGCGTAATTTGCAGAATTAGTATTTTTATCACGTTAATGATTTCTAAACACACAGTGATGACCAGACTACAAATATAACAGAGATGTCGCATTTAAAGTGCCCACATGTTGACTAGAAATGTGTATATATTCTCAAGAATATTTTCTTACATTTTAATAGACACTATGTTAACGTTTGTTCATTTGTTTCATTTGTTTACTGTACCATTGTGGCACATTTATTAAAACAATAGCAACTATGGTAAACAAGAATGAAATTGCTTTATGAATGGAAGTGCTTTAAATTGTCATTTAAAATTGGCATTATATGTGGAAACCACAAAACCAAGAAAATTAGCCTTGAAAACCTCAAAAAAGCTGTATATCCCCGCTGATGTCCTGATGCGTGCTCAGCCTGCTAGTGTGATTTGCCACAGGTGAGAGCGCCCTCTACTGTACATCCTCGCATTGACCTCGAAAGAGACATCCTAACAAGATGAAGACAAACTTTGAAAAACATTTACAAGCAAAATCTCAACATCTAATTAATTTATATAAGTTCCTATTACCTTAGCATCCAATGTAGTAGTTCTCAATCTTGCTGGAAATGTTCAAAATAGTCTAATAAAACATCTGAAAACCAATCAAGTATCTAAAACAAATCTAAATACATCTTGGGCTGGTTTTACATGCATTTTGGGCATTTTCCATTTGGTTGCCAACCAGCTAAACCAGCTGAACATCAGCTTGGCTAGGCTGGTAGACCAGCTAGACCTGCTTGTCCTCGATTGTACCCCAACAACGCACTTTTTTTTCTTTCTGTCTCTCTTTCTTACACTTTATTTATATCAGAATCTTGTTAATAAAAGCCTCAAGTCCTGAACTGAGTGTCAGAAAAGTGTATTCTTTACTGGTATAAATATTAATTTATATCCGATTTGGTTAGAGTAAAACAAACTCTGATGAGATTGCTCTGTTGCTGTGGTTCACTGTGGAATAAACTGGTACACTGCCATGCAAACCATGGAGCAAGCCATAAAGCAGACTGAATGTACTTTAATAAAGAATGTTCCAGTACACTTACAAAGTGTGTCTGAATATGAATTCAACATGAACCAATGACACCTACAGTACATAAAACAAAAGCATGATGTCACAAGCTGCAACTATAAAAGGACAGAATGCTCAAGCGCACCTGTTTTTTTCTCCTTATAGACATGATGTTGCCTATGACAGGCATCAGAAACACATCCCCTTGCTGCAGAATTTTATTTATTTATTTTTTGTGCATGCATGAATTTGTCCCTGGCTCTGTTTTGAGTCCTTAACAATTTCTCAAAACTTCACAACATACTGCACATCAGATTTAGCACAGCAGCCAGCATTATGTTTGGCATTTGGTAACTTCCTTTGCAAAACATACATCATTAAAATATGTTTTTTTTTGTATCTTTCATTTCAGTCAATAAATTACATTGTAAATGTTAAGTCAATGTTTTCATTTCTCTCTCTCTCTCTCTCTCTCTGGTCCAGGTGAATTAACTTACCGGTGTAAACACAATGTCTACAAAGCCCATAACTTGCATGTTTTTATGAATGGTGTGGAGAAAAGTAGCTTGGCTGAACAGCAGTTCAATACCACCAAAGTACTTTCATTTCACAAAAAAAAAAAAAAAAGGCGTCTTTGTTTTTTGGCTTTGGGTTGCATGGTGACTCAATAGTTAGCACTGTTCTCACAGCAAGAAGGTCACTGGTTTGAGTCCTAGCTGGGCTAGTTGGCATTTCTGTGTGGAGTTTGGATGCTCTCCCCATGTTCGCATGGGTTTCCTCCGAGTGTTACGTTCCGGTTTTCCCAACAGTCCAAAGACATGAATGAATGAATGAATGAATGAATGAATGAATGAATGAATGAATAAATAAATGAATAAATGAATGAATGAACGAACAAAACGAATGAACGAACAAATGAACAAACGAACAAATGAATGAATGAATGGCTTTTGGCTGACCAAGAAAAAGATCAAAGACCTGAGAGTATATGTAAAAATCAAAGTTGAAAGTAAAATAGTGGAAATGTCTCATCTCGCATATTACAAGTTGTTTAGCCATAGAATAGTTAATACAGTGTATAACATTAACTGTACACACACACATTTTAGGGCATATTTTAGCAAGTTACTTAATCAAAATTTAGTTAATTCCAGTAGACCACATATTTATGTAGCGCCTGAAGTTAGAGTTCAAACATAACACTCAAGCTTAGATCTTGAGATTACCCTCATTACATGCTGCTTTGATAAAGATGCTCTCTTAAAAACAAAAGTTACAAAATGGAGTTTTATCAGTGGCATCATAGAAGGATCATATGATTCCCAAAAAAACCTTTAAAGGGACACTTTGCCCAAGCATTTAAATTCTGTTATTATTTACTCACCATATACTTAATGCAAACCTGTTAGACTTTCTTTCTTCAGTTGATCACAAAGGAAGATATTTTGAAGAGAGCTGGAAAACCATTGACTTCCATAGTATTTGCTTTTCCCAATACGGATGTCAAAGGTTACAGGCTTTCAGCTATTTTTAAAACATCTTCATTTGTGTTCAAGAGAACAAAGGAACTTATAAAGGTTTGCCAGCACTTCAGGGTGAGTCAAAAGAGAGTAAATTTAAATTTTTAGGAGAACCATCCCTTTAAAATCCCACTTTTTTCCACTGTAAAGGACGCTACAGTGACAATGTTAATGCAGTGTTTATCAATGTCATTTGACAACATGGACAAAATCAACCTACACAAATAGCATCTCAGGTATGATAGGTAGAGTAAAGAGCAGTCAGGGACTGTTTTACAGCAACGCTTGGATTGGACTGATTCACCACAGAAAAGAGGTGCAGAAGTGCAAGATCCTGGTTTGCACCAGAATTGTATTACTTATTATTTTCAATTTTTTTATTATGCATTATGAATGTCATCCAGGCAGCATTTTAATATTTTTTTACTATATTATTCATTCATTCATTCATTTTCTACCACTTATCTGGAGCAGGGTCGCAGGGGCAGCAATCTTAGGAGAGAACCCCAGACTTCCATCTCCCCAGGATCCCAAGGTGTTCCCAGGCCAGGCAAGAAACAGTCCTTCCAGTGTGTCCTGGGTCTTCCCCAAGGCCTCCTCCCAGTGGGACATACCTGGAACACCTTAGGTAAGCATCCAGGAGGCATCCAAAACAGATGCCCAAGCCACCTCAGCTGACTTCTCTCGATGTGGAGGAGCAGCGGCTCTACTCCAAACTCCTCTCGGGTGACAGAGCTCCTTACCCTATCCATAAAGGTGTGCCTTGCCACCCTGTAAAAGGAAATTCATTTCAGACGATTGTATCCGAGATCTTGTCCTTTCGGTCATGACCCAAAGCTCATGAGCATAGAAGAGAGACGGAACGTAGATTGACCGGTAAATCGAAAGCTTTGCCTTTTGGTTCAGCTCCTTCTTTACCAAAACGGACCGGTACATCGACTGCATTACTGCTGCCACTGCACCAATCCACCTGGCAATCTCATGTTCCATCCTTCCCTAGAGTGTGTGTGTGTGTGTGTGTGTGTGTGTGTGTGTGTGTGTGTGTCTGTAAAATTCAATTCATCTTTATTTCTATAGCGCTTTTACAATGTACAGTAGATTGTGTCAAAGCAGCTTAACATAGACGTTCTAGTAAATTGAAACTGTGTCAGTCCAGCTTTCAGAGTTGAAGTTCAGTTTAGTTCAGTTCAGTGTAGTGTAATTTTCACTGCTGAAAGTCGAAACACTGAAGAGCAAATCCATCGATGCACAGCTCCATTAGTCCAGAACTATGTAAGCCAGTGGCGACAGCGGTGAGGAACAAACTTCACCAATTGACGAAAGTGAAGAAAAAAGAGAAGAGAAATCAGGCTCAGTTGTTCACGACCATTTCTCCTCTGGCCAAACTTCTTGTGCAGAGCTGCAGTCTAGGCATCGGTGGCTGGAGAAAGCTGGACGTCCATTTTGGAGAAGTTGCAGGTGGGAAAGGTCACCGCCTTGTGTACAGGCTGGCCCTTCAGGATCAATGCGGAGACTTGCTGTCACTGGGGCCTTACAGGAATCAGTCTCATGCTCTCCACTCCTTCATGACCACCACAGCAGCTGCTCAGGATACAGCCTTGTCTAAGATTATGGAAACCTCAGAAATAATGAAAACAGACTCACATAAGCGCAGATGCTGTTCAAATTATAATGTCTTTTGGGAAGTGTTCCCGGCTCCGGTTGCACTAAATAATGCAGACTAACAATCCTTGAGAGGATTTGGATTTCAACAGCATTTGAGATTTATGTGTATGCTAATGCAAAGAGATGTGTCTTTAATCTAGCTTTAAACTGTATAGGAAAAGAAACATACAGTGAAGTACAATGCGAATAATAACGGGTATAATAATAGAGCGCAGTATCAATGGTGGTAAAAACAAAATGAATAATAAAACAAAATAAAAAACAAACAAGAAAAAGTATAAAAAGGAAAAATATAAAGGAAATGATGCATGTTAATTAATAATAATAAATCATTGTGCGTCTGATTTTTGATTAGGTAGACCAGTGTTACCTTTATGTACCTGCACCACTGGCCAAATTGTCTGGATACCTTACACCACCAAACACCCTCTCACCTGACACTAGAAACGGTGTATATAAAACCACAGATTACTTCACCAGCAACCTCACTTCATCTGTATATTTCACACGCCGTCAGAGTCGGGTGTTGAAGGAAGAAGCAGTAAAAGGAGGAGGAGGTATGG